TTTGATCTCTAGTTCCTCTGCCTCTTCGAAACCCAGCTTGTACATCCAGTAGTTCTCGGGGTGCTTCTAGTAGAGAGGCTTAAAACCAAGGCAATTTTCATTTTATTCAGTTTTATTTTAAGACAGTTGTGTCGTATTATATTTTCTATAGGAAATATTCCAAACTGGGCATTGGGCACCTGAAAAAAGTACCGTTTGACTATGGGAGAGTTAGTGCTCAGCTCTTTTGAAATGGTATACATGTGAAAACATATGAATCTAAAAAGAGCCCTGGATCAGGCTCAGAATTAGCTCAGAATTCTCAGAGTGGCTAACCAGATATGTCTGTCCAAGGCTGTCTGGAGGCATGTTGTTCCCATCCTTATTCCCAGCCCAGAGGTACCACTAAGACTTTAAGACCCTTGGTGGATCTCCATGAATTTATCAGTGACATCAGCAAAAGTAAAAACTGAGAAATTAAGCTTTAACTTGAATAACTGGGACATCAGTTCATACTACCAGTGGAATGTGCCGACAGATAGCCCTATTTCCTTTCCAGGTTAATTTTAAAAATGAGTGCAGAAGGGGGCAGACAACTATCAAAGATGGAAGAAGGAAATCATACATTTTTATGGGATTATCCAAGCAGCATTCTCTGTTTTACATGTATTTTAAGATCAAAATGCTAAAGTTCCTGAAAAACAACATCCTAGACATTTCTAAGTTTTGCCAGTGGCCAAAATGCTGTTTCAGGGTTGTACTACTGCCATCAATCAATCACCACAACTTTACTTTTAGCGGACATAATTTCAGTTTCAGAGGCCACATTCCATGGTCAGGGACATAATTCTTGATGGCTATTATCCCAATGCCAGGCTGTCAACAGAGGATATTAATAAAAGATAAACTGATCATTAAAAATTAATGTATCACAACAATTTCTCCAACTGTGACAGGAAATAGACCTCAGTGTGAATTTTAAAATAAACAGAAAGAGTTGGCTATAATTTTCCTCAGGGACTACTCATTTTTTTTTCATAGTCTCCATTCCTTGCTGTATTTTTCACACAATTATTTATAACGATTGGAGGTGGTCCCAGCCCGGTCAATGATCCTTCTGCGCGCTCCTTCTTTTCCAGGGCTCTTCAGCTGCGGGGCATTTTCCTATACAAATGCCTCCTTTCAAAGCTATGGCATAACCAGCCGGGTCGTCCCTTGCTGGAGCGCAGGAATAGCCTCAGACTTTTGTTGGCTCATCGAAATGGGGCAGAGGAAGAGCGAGATAAAATGAGAAGGGCACGGGAGGACAGAGATAGCCTGCTTTTTTATCTCCGGAAAGAAACAAAACGCGAAGGCTGGCACACGAAATTCAGCCTGGGGACAGCCCGCCGGACAATCACCAGAAGGGGAAGCTGCGAGTGGAGGTAGAGGAGGGGAGGGGCAAAGGGAGGCAACTTCAGTGCAGGTGACACCAAGTTCAGCTTGGCCGTGCCGGATTCGGTTTTCCTTCAGACCTGGCTCTCCTCCGCGCCTGGAGGCTGCGGGGAGGTGAAAAGCAGCAGCCGAGGAGAATCGCCGGAGCGACCGTGCAGCTCTGAGCGGAAGGGACCCTCGTGGACAACAGAGTAAAGAGAAGGAAAATGCACCTGAAGGACAAAGTGGCGCTGGTCACTGGGGCAGCTCAGGGCATAGGCCAAGCGTTCGTCGAAGCCCTGCTGGAAAAGGGCTGCAAGGTAAGCGCGCCGACCGCGGGTTGCCCGGGCACAGGGGAGGGGAGGGAAAATGCTCGCTATCACTGGCAGACGCGCCACGGTCCTTCGTTCCTCGACCGCGCTGGGGAGCAATGATAGAAGTTTCTCTTGGAGTTCGTAGGATCAAACTGACTCCTCCTTTTTCTTAAACATGTAAGTATCTCAAAGCTATTGGTTTTGTCTCTCCAGTAGTGTGAGCTCCGCAGCTGCTCTCTGTGTGTGGGTGTGTGGGTGTGAGAGAGAGGGAAAAGGGGGGGGGGGGGTAGAAGCGACAGAATGGATGACACAAGTTTCAAAGTACAGTATATAGTTGATATGTGCAGAGAATGGGTAAAATCCTCTTTTAGTCCTCTTTAGAGAATGGCCAACATAAAACCCATTACTTCCCTGGGCCTGTTTGAAACAGGATTTGGTGTTTGTCTTCATAGTTTCTAATATTAATTTTTTTTTCACATGCATTGATAAAAACAGGCATGCATGTTTTCCCCAAATCTCTGGAAACACTACTGCTCCATATAGTAGACTGGTACTGCATTTAATGTCATGCCAAATTCAACTGGGTTGCTGTCAGGGAATTTTATATTCCTTCATTTTTATGTAGTAAAATCTAGAATTTCTAGGGAGTAAAACACTGCAAACAGTTGAAACTTACTTAGCCTTCCCTTTAAAATCACCAGGATTTATGTCCTCAAATAAGTTATATTATAGGTTAGGTAATATGCTTGTAATTTCTACCACGTTTGTTCCATATAAAGCTACATATTTGTACAAATGTAGATATTACATCAGCTAATCACCACTCTCTAAAGCACCCCTCCTCTCCTTCTCTGTTTTATACCTAAGAAAGGCTCAACTAATTCTTCCAAATTCTATATCAGGATATTCACCTACTTTGATAGGCCTGTGTTGAACATTGTCTGCTTTTTCACAGGTAGCACTTGTAGATCTGAATGCAGATGTAGGCAAAGCCAGCAAAGATGCCTTTGATAAGCAGTATGATCCACAGAGAACTCTCTTCATTCCATGTGATGTTTCAAATGAAGAAAAACTTAAAGGTTAGAAGGCTTTTTCAAAAAGTTTTGTAGTGTCCTATTTTAAATAATAACAAGTCTTGATCTCCATCTAGCCGAAGAGATATGTGTTGTTACTTCTATATGCAGAAGCTGTATTAATACTTTCTCCCACCTTAATAAGCCTGGAAAAAGTGCTAAAATCTCCTGCCATTTATTATGTGGAAAGCCTACTAATTATGATAAATAAAGGTCATCATTTTTTGCTAAAAGGTACAGAATTTATACGCAGCTGATAGATGATAATCAAATTGAACAGGTCAGGACCTTGAAATAGGAGAAGGATTTTATGTCCATTGTACAAGGAGATGACATTAGAGCATGTTACAGAGAGAGCAAGAAGGTGTGCCGTGGCAGCATTAACATTCTTCTGTATAGCAGGAAAATCATGTATTTGCAGCCTTAAATATAGTCTAGGAAAAAAAGAATGAAGCAGCTACCTAATTTTGTCTGGAGGGACAAAGAGATCAGCGCTGGGTTGGGGGGTAGAATTTCAAACCATTAGAAAGAGTACAATCTAAATTCAAAATAAGTATTTTAAGGATGTTCCCAACACAACATCCACTGGTTTTTTGTTTTTTTTTTTACCAGTAAAACAGGCCAGGAAACAGAAAAAGCAAGAGCTAGGACTGACTTATTTAAGTGGCTAACTAAAATTACTGTTTGTCGTGTTTGGACTACTGCCTCTGGTATAATATTATGGGATAGCTACTATTTTTCCTGGAACAAGCTAAAGAAGCAAAATTCCACTAGTATGGATTCACTCTAGTGGCTATGACCACACTGAATAAAGAGGTAATAAACGAATGAATTAGGAACATTGGTGTTCAAATGTCTCACTGCCAAACAGATATATTGTTTCTGATCCTAGACAAAGTTTCATGACAGAAATATATTGACAATCTTGCAGTTTATTTATTATGAAATCTATAACCTGTTTACTGTATATGTATTAAAAGAATAATAATAAAATAATATAGAAAGAGATACAAAATAATATAATATAACAGTACAGTAGAGCTGATTCCAGCATCAGTGGCTCTAGAATCATTCCCAAAAGCCTCTCTGGGAAAACCAAGTCTTTGCAACTTTCCAGAAGGCTATAAAATTGGAGTCACCCGCATCTCATGGGTAAGCTGTTGCACAAAATGTGAGACTGTACAGAAACTGCTTGTACCTGCTTGGTAGATGGGAAGCCTGAGTACACATTATCTGGCTGTTTGATTGGGTAGGCAGAATTATTTGGGAAAGTTGGTTTCTTAGATAGCCAGACTCTGAGCCATTTAGGGCTTTAAAGGTGGTGACCAGCACCTAACTGCACTCAGAAACACACTGTTATTTTGGACCAGTTGAAGCTTCTGGATGATTCTAAGGCAAACCCGTATACTGCAATTTGCAGTAATCTAAGCAAAGATGACAAGACTGTTCTAAGCACATCCTGTTCTAGATAAGGCTGCAACTGGCAAACACGCCAAAGCAAAGAGTCTCTGGCCATGGGCCCTACCTGCTCTTCTAGCAGGATCTATAGATCTAGAAGGAACCCCATATTTTGAGGAAGAGGAAGAAGGTACAGTGCAATCAGACTTGCAAGATTCTCTTATTGGAGTCAGTCTCAATAAAAGTAGTTTCAGTCTTCCTGTGGGATTGATTTCCTGGTCTGGTCTACCAAGTGAAGCTGACAGTACATCACCCTGAACTCAGTGGGTGACCTCACCAAGTGGCTTCATATAGATATTGAACAGGAGAGAGGACAAAGCTCTATGGCACCCCATAACAAATAGTGCAAAGGCCCAATCCCTTCCCACCACTGCTACCACTGACTGGACTTGCCTACTTAGGACAGAACAGAACCATGGTGCTTCCAACTTCCAACCATTGCAAGTAATCCAAAAATATACTATGATGAACAGTAACAAAGGTTGCTGCAAGATCTAGGAAGAAGATAGTTGTGTTCCCTCCATCTAGTTCCCATTAGAAGTTATCCATGACAGCAACCAATTCATTTTTTTTTTTTTTT